GTCTCTGCTTCCAAGGGTACTGGTGTCGTCACCTCTGTGCCCTCCGACAGCCCCGATGACTACGCCACCCTGATGGATCTAGCTAAGAAGGCCGACTACTATGGTATCAAGAAGGAGTGGGCCGAGTTGGAGATCTACCCTCTTATTGATACTCCCACCTACGGCAACTTGACTGCCCCTGCTTTGGTCAAGGAGCTGAAGATCAACTCCCCCAAGGATGCTGTTCCCCTTGCCAAGGCTAAGGAATTGGCCTACTCGGAAGCCTTCTACAAGGGTACCATGCTGGTTGGTGAGTTCAAGGGCGAGCCCGTTAGCGCTGCCAAGGAGAAGGTCCGCAAGGCTCTTTACGAGAGCGGCGATGCTTTCCCCTTCGCTGATCCCATGGGCAAGGTCGTTAGCCGCAGTGGTGACGACTGTGTTGTTGCCTACCTTGGCCAGTGGTTCCTGAACTACGGTGAGAATGACGCCGAGTGGCAGCAGGAGACTCTGAACCACGTTGTCAACAACCTCAACACCTACTCTAACGAGTGCAAGCACGGATTCGAGAAGAACCTGTCTTGGCTCAACCGCTGGGCCTGTGCCCGTACCTACGGTCTCGGATCCCAGCTGCCTTGGGACAAGCAGTTCCTGGTTGAGAGTCTGAGTGACAGTACCGTCTACATGGCTTACTACACCATTGCTCACCTGCTCCACGGTGACCGCTACGGAAAGACCACTGGCTCCTTGAACATCACGGCCGACCAGATGACTGATGAGGTCTGGGATTACATCTTCACGAGACGGGAGATCAGCGACGAGCTTGTTTCCAAGAGTGGGATTAACAAGGACGCTCTGCTGAAGATGCGCCGTGAATTCGAATACTGGTACCCTCTGGATGTCCGTGTATCCGGCAAGGACCTGATCCAGAACCATCTGACCTTCTTCCTCTACATCCACATTGCGCTCTTCCCCAAGGAATACTGGCCTCGCGGTGTCCGTGCAAACGGTCACCTGCTTCTCAACGGCGAGAAAATGAGCAAGAGTACTGGAAACTTCCTTACTCTGAAGGATGCTGTTGACAAGTTCGGTGCTGATGCTACCCGTATTGCATTTGCCGATGCTGGTGACAGCATCGAGGATGCCAACTTTGAGGAGACTGTTGCCAACAGCAACATTCTTCGTCTACACACCCTGAAGGACTGGGTTGAGGAGATCGCCAAGGACGAGACTCTCCGCACCGGCCCTGCCGATGCCTTCGCTGACAAGCTCTTCATCAACGAGATTAACAGCCTCGTCCGCGAGACCCAGAAGCACTACCAGGAGTAAGTCAACGTTACCTTTTATTATTACCGGTATCTAACCTTTATTTAGTACCGACTTCAAACTTGCCCTGAAGTCCGGCCTGTACGACTTCACCAGCGCCCGCGACAGCTACCGCGAAGCTTCCAACGCCGCTGGCGTGGCTATGCACAAGGACACCATCCTGCGCTACATTGAGCTGCAGACTCTCATGCTGGCCCCTATCACTCCTCACTGGTCTGAGCACGTCTGGCTTGAAGTTCTCAAGAAGGTTAGTCATTCTGTCCTTGGGTATTTGTCCACGGTCTAACCCCGTCCAGCCTGAGTCCGTCCACTTCGCCCAGTTCCCTACCGTGCCCGAGCCCTCCCCCGAGCTGTCCGCCGCTCAGAACTACGTCCGCAGCACCGCGTCCAACATCCTGTCCTCGGAGGCCAACTTCGCCAAGAAGCTCTCCAAGGGCAAGTCTTCTGGCTTCGACCCTCGCAAGCCCAAGAAGCTCACTATCTACGCTGCCAAGAAGTACCCCGCCTGGCAGGAGAAGTACATCGACCTTGTGCGCGATGCCTTTGACGCTCTGAACATCTCCATCAACGACAAGGAGCTCAACGCCCAGGTTGGCAAGCTCGGTGAGATGAAGAAGGCCATGCCCTTCGTTCAGACCCTGAAGAAGCGCCTGATTCAGACCCGCGAGGCTCCCGATACTGTCTTCGACCGCAAGCTTCCCTTCGATGAGTTGTCCGTTCTGTCTGAGATGACTGGTGGTCTCATCCGCACTGCTGGCTTCAAGGAGATCGAGGTCATTGCTGTCAATGAGGGTGGTAAGACTGGTGAGGTTGTTGGTTCTGGTGAGACCCGGGAGGGTCTGTCCGCTGAGAACGCCGTTCCTGGACAGCCTACATTCCAGTTCACCAATGTCGAGTAGATGACTTGTTGTCGTTTATTGAAAAACTTTTTCATTTGCTGGTTTAAGAATCATGTTTGATGAGTTTATGTTGGAATATAAAAGATAAAGCATGAAGCATTTTATTGATCTAAAGCTTTTCGCAGTGATTACCCTTAGGGTTATACCTCCAAGTAGTCTTTCTCTCTTTGTCCGTAAAACTATACCGTCCTTCCCTGCAAACATAACCAAAGGACTCCATCATGCGCTGGACTTCAAGGCACCCAGCAACCTTTATATCAAACACATTAGCAAATACATACCACGCCAAACTTTCCTTAAGACAAGCAGAAAACTCACCTTCTGAACCCCTCCTTCAAGATATCCTCTTCCTGAGAGAATACCAACCGAAACCACCCGACATCCTTTGAATGCTCTTCACCAGGATGTAGAAATACACCGGCATCAACAAGTTTCTGCGCAAGAACAAACTCTCGTTCTCGGGGTGATAGTCCCTCCTTGAATGGGAGGTATGGCGACAGATCGATATAGACGAAGAAGCCAGCATTTCTACACTCCGTCAGTCGATGCTTAAGTTGATCTTTTGGCCTGCCACTTACCCGCCCTTGATATAATTAATCCCTTGTTCGTTCAGCGTTGATGTGGTGAGCCGGTATGCGGATGCGAGACACTTCCTCGATTTGGCTGTGAAGCTCGATACGAAGGCTCGATCTTCTAGGATAGCAGTTCCAATTGTGACAGCAGCTTGAGATGCGCCGTGTAATCTCCTATGGGGAATTAGCCTTGTAAATAGGATGTGATGTGCCCGTCTATCAAGCTCTGGGAGAAAATTGAATCTTACAAGATTGCTTGGCAGGCTTGACGAAGTTGTTTGTTTTGAGTCACTAGGAACCCAAGATGAAGTCCTCCGGAAGCAAAGTCCTGGAATGAAACCATGTTAGCTTAGTGGATATTGGTCGTTTTGTCTGATACCTACCTTGCTGAAGCCATATAACACATGGACCAGGTTAGGATCTATCACTCCCACCAGATGGAGTGAAAGTATCGAGGTAAACGGAACAGCGTCGGGATCATCCGTTTCAAAAACACAAGAAGCATAGACTTCATCACTGATGAGATGGAGACTATGCTTCTGACAGAATCGAGCGATTGCTTTCAGTGTCTCAACAGGGTAACAACGCCCTACCCATAACCCATTAGTCCACTATTTGATATACCAAGCATTAAACAGAACACACCAACAGGATTATGCGGATTAACAAGCAAAACCGCCCGAATCTGCATCCCACGCCCTCTCGCAGCCTCCAAAGCCTGTTCATACTTATCAACCGACGTTGGAGAAAACGCCTCCTCCGTCGCAGTATCAGCATAAACCATCTCAACACCTGCTTCAACGCCATAGTCAAGCTCGAAGCGGCCGTATACAGGCCTATTGACAAGGATTCCTTCTCCACGTTCTGCTAGATTATATCCAAGCATATTACCCAAGGAAGTAGCAGAATCCGCGACCACAATATGCTCGGGTTGGATTGGGATATCTGGGCTTAGGATATTGTTTAGGTGGGTTGCTGCTGCGGCTGGTAATCTTGCTGCTGTTGGTGCGCTGGAGCGGTAGCTTATTGAGTCTTGGGTGAAGGTAACCTGCGTGGGATTGTTAGGTCTGATTTCAGTGTATGGAGTAGAAAAATAGTGTCCTTGCTCTGTATAGACCTTTTCGTTGATGTATTTGGCTATTTCGGCTCTCATTGGTCTCTGGTTATATATTAGTTGTCAATTCTTAATGAGAGATGAATAGTACATACATTCTCTGCTAGACCAAATGAGATGAGTCCCGTTGGGTCTGTCTCTGGGTCATAGGTTTGAGTGTGACTGAAACGCCAGGGAACACTCAGCCCTTCGACATTTCTGTGTCCCCGATATGATAGCATTTTGTTGTAAGACGTAGTTGTTGGGGCTTATAGCGCCAGAGATAGTTGGAAGGAGTGTTTAGTTTGTCGCGAAACTTGACAATGTCAGACGGGAAGAAGACCAGGGAGTTGAAATAAAGTTGAAGAGTTGAAGTGTACCCCCACTTACGCTTACGGGGACCCCGAGAGCACAATTGAGCGAAATATCACTTGGGTTTTGCATGCAAATGTGCACTTTCAGTAGTCAATCAAATCGACTGAGAAATCTGTACTCGCACTTCTTTGATGACCACCTATTTGATCACCGGCAGCACGTCTTGTGCTTCATTTACGTTGTTCTCGGAATCATTCAATATAGCCTTTGCATTCGCATGAAAGAACAGGGGAACTAACTCGGTAGGGAAAATCAATACCAAGGCAGAGCTTGGCGGAAAGATTTGAGACCAGTCGCAATAACTGGAGAGTATATAGCGTTCGTATGTGTTGGGAAAAGAGGTCGCCGAAAGGAACACCAGGGGATGGCTGCGATAATTCCGCCACGCATTCTCACCACTCAGATAATCGATGTAGCTTCACAAGCTGAATCATTATAAGAGCATTATTCGTAGTGCATGCTAGGTGCTTCCATGCATAATTAACTCAACGAAAGCAGAATCTATAGGATGGTGAGCGAAAACGAACAGGCGCCGGGAGATCTTCCCGATAATAAAGTCGTGAAAGCGTAAAGGTATAAAGACACTATAACTTGCCCACAAAAAGGTTGTATAGCTACCTAAGGGTAGTTTTCTTCAGATTGTAGCAATCATCAAGTATTGTATTATTCGATTTTTAAAGAAACTGATGTCCTAATATAACATTGGCAAAGTAACATAAAAGCCGTTTTTATAAAAGGCTTCTAATTATCATATCAAAATCAAGCCTTGATCAGCGTTGCAGTCTTCCTCGCGTGAAAGTCGCGGCTACTGAACCCAGCCTTGAAGGTGAAAGGCCCAGCAGGAATACGCCAGTCCTGGGCAGTGACATCCCAGTAACTGAGATCCCGGCGCATCAGTTCAAACTTAACAGTCTTCTTCTCGCCGGCTGTGAGGTGGAACTTATCAAATCCGCGAAGCTGGTTTGGCGGGGTACCAGCCGGTGTTGAGGCAGGGAAATCAATGTACAGTTGCGGCACAGCGAATCCGTCAACGTCTCCAGTGTTGGAGACTTCCGCCTCAAGGGTATACACTGTCTCCCAGAGAGCGGGGTTACCGCCTGGCTGTATAGCCCGCTTAGCAGGGAGAGCGGTCAAATTGGCTGGTGTAGAGTCCTTCGCCTTGAGATTCTTCAGGTCGAAGGTGGTATAACTCAAACCGAAACCAAACTCGTAGCGGACGGAGATGTTGTGGGCATCGAAGTAGCGGTAGCCAACTTCGAGTTCTTCGTCGAACCAGCTCTGCCAGTCCCAGGTACCGTTGGTCTCCACGGCTGTGGTCAAGGGCGCGTTGTAGTCTGACTCGTTGTACGCAATCACGTACGGCAGTTTGCCGGATGGGTTCACATCACCGTAGAGAACGTCAGCGATGGCATTGCCAGACTCCTCTCCAGCGTAATGCTGGGCCAAAATAGCAGTCACGTTAGGATGATCGGCGAAGGGCATAACGTTGACACCACCGGAGTTCGTGATCACAACGGTGTTGTTGCAGTGGTTGGCAACAGCCTCTGCAACGGCATTTCCGTTCCAATCGAGGTCCAATGAAGTCCGGTCTTCACCCTCGGCTGCGAATGACTTGAGGAAAACGAGGCAGACATCAGGCTGTTGCGGGATCCACAAAGGCGACGTCAAGGCCTCCGTGGCGAGCAAAGTGTTGTTCAGGTAAGATTGGACCAGGGAACCGTCCTTGCGAGCCCGGGTGTTAATGGCATCGAGAGGAGTTGACAAGTATGTGAATCGGCAGGAACCAGAGCCCGAAGAGCCTGCGAGATGGCCGTACTCGAAGTTGGCCTGGAGGTTGGGACCTTGGGTAAGGGGACCGGCATCGTTACCGGCAATCACAATGTTGCGAGGCTTGCGGAGTGGCAATGCATTGCGTTCATTTTTGAGCAGGACCGTGGAGGATGCTCCATGCTCGCGAATCATGGCACTGTGGTTAGCTCGAACGTCACGGTTGGTTTCGCCGGTAAATTTCCAGTCATAAAGCCAAGTATCAGGAGCCGAATCGACATTGAGCGGGCCCACTGAAGCATCAACGCTCGGGTAATTCTTCTCCTGGCCAAGCCAGAAGTATGGGGTCATGATACGCACAATCATGTCATTCAGACGAGATACTTCAACAGTGCCATTCTTGACGGCTGAGGTGAGGTTCTTGCCCAAGAAGGACCCCTCGGTCCATTCCTCGCCGTACAAAGTGAAGCCTCCAGGCATGCTCATGTCCATTCCGCTTTCAACAGATGCCACACCACTGTGAGTAGCACCCCAGTCGGACATGACATAACCCTGGAAGCCAAGCTCACCCTTGAGAAGGTGGTTCAAAAGGTAAGAGTTCTGGCACGAGTGGGAGCCATTCACACGGTTATACGAGCACATGGCGCTAGCCACCTTAGCACGGACGGCATTTGCGAAGGGCCACATATAGATCTCATGCAGGGTACGGTCATCGATGTTTGCAGAGACCGAGTCTTGGATGTAGGTGGTCTCGTTGGCATCCGGGGCATATGAAGGGTTTCGTTGGGTTTCTTGCTCATTGGCAATGAAATGCTTAGCATTGGCCTGGACACCCGCATCTTGCATGCCATTGATTGTCTCTTCCATGCAGACACCGGTGAGGTAAGGGTCCGCAGCAAACCCCTCCCAGGTGCGAGAATCATAGGGACTGCGGCCCAGAGGTCCTCCAATAGGTCCCAAGATGACATGGGATCCCTTTGCCTTGTGCTCCTTGGCCATTGCGTTGCCTCTATCGTACAGCAATTGACGGTCCCAGCTTGCGGCGGCTGAGACACCACTGACAAAGACACTAGAGTAGTCTCCTTGCTGCACGCACTGAGGGCCATTCTGGAGGCAAAGACCGCTAAAGTTGAGACGCGGGATGGGAAGAACATTTCCAACACAAGGACCAGGCTGGCCTGTTGCCATCCAGGATTTTTCTTCAAGTGTGAGCTTGCTCACGAATCTCTTGGCTTTTACCAAAGCTGTTTCCCAACCACCATTGCCAGTCATGTTTGCTGTTTAGTGTCAGTCGCTATAAGGGTCCATGGTAGAGAAGGATGTATCATTGGACTTAGATTACTCACGCGAAGGAAGAACAGATAAAGAGTGACCGTCAGCCAGGATAGTTGTATTACGAGGCTGAACATAGCTGTAAGGCTCTCCCGGGTGATCAATGGGCGCCTGGCAGGTATCTGCTAGGGCCGAGGGCACCGCTGAGAGCAGCAGTGCTCCTAATAGAGCTTGTGGTGACAACATAACGGAGTCTGGTGAAGGATGAAGGCCTCAAAATCAGCCAAGAAGAGCCTTGGTGTTGTACAGATCTCTTGGACGGCTGAATACCTCCCTTAAATAGCTAGGCTTGGGACATTCCGTGGACATGCCACCCCGCATACTCCCCAGGAAGACTCGGCAGGGCTCACGGATCCACTCGTGGGGGCTTAAGCCTCGCATCGAGAGAAAAGCTTCCAGGTGGAGCAAGTATTGACAATCCCCGAAGTCGGCATACGGAAAGTCGCCGGATCGACTGCTCACTCGTATCCCGTCGGTATGCCGGTATACCGAGACATGTCTTTCTGTTGTTGCTCTGGGATGTTTGGAGAGCGTTGATATATGGAGGGAATAGTGTGAGTCCGGGGTACAGATATCCCCAGGGAGTTGCATACAGCAAAGTAGGGTCTGACGTAACATTAAATTGTCCGGGTCAACTTCGGCTAAACCCCCACACATCGGCCCATCGTCATATCCGAGACTCCGCGGGGATTCGGCAGAGCATTCACGAGGCATTTATGAAGTCAGTGCAGCTATTTCTCCATTGTCAAATCAGTGCCAAGAACCTAGAGAGAAAGAAGCACCTTGTGGCGCTTTTTACCTTCCATTTCAAGGTCATATGGCATCGTAAGTCCGACAAAGTTACCTAGATGGGCAGTGATCGCCTTCAGTCCATATGGTGACAGGGCTATTTCGGCATTCAAAACAAGGGAGAAAGCATTCGGCTTTCTTTCTGTCTCTCTCGGAGTTGAAAGGGCCACTTCGCTGCCGAAACCTGCCCAACTCCACTATATATTGTGGATGCGAGGCATGCAGTAAAACACTGAAGACATGCTCAAATCCATTCAGATACATATAAGCTTGGGAAGTCTTAAGAAAAGATATTGAGACAGAGAATTGTCTAGTGTCAACGTGATCAATTCGCGCCAATGATATCAACAGGTAAAGGCCACATGGGCACTAAGCCGAGGGGTTAACCATGACTGAGAACCTGCAGAATAACTTATTTTGAAGCATCACTTTTATTACAATAATCCTATACATTCACTGACATCCAAATATCTCCTCAAAATGTCAACTGCCACCGATGATATGCACGCTGCCGAATATACCGTCCTGAGAGACCTCTTCAGCGACAATATATCTACCCACAACGCAGCTGAAAGCCTGGCTACAATTCAATTATCAAACACCACCGAGCCAGAATCAAACATTTCCTCTCTATGGAGCTTCATAATCAAATGCGCGTACGAGTTTCCCGAACACCAGACTAAGCTGGTCGATACGCTAGTGCAGCTCTCGAAACTCCCAGACGCGAAATTAGCCAACGGAGACCCGATACTCCTCCATGATATGCGCGTGTGGAAGGATCTCCCAATGCTAGGCTGGCAATTTCGAGATGAATGGAATGCATCTATACCGGACGGACCGCCCGATCAACGAGCCAGTGCGATCTCGCAAATGATCAATCGGGATAAGTTCACTGCGCTTTTGATGACGACTAAGGAACCTGTGTTCAATTACTCGTGGTTTGCACTTATTACCTTCCGTGATGCCTTGGAAGCACCTGCAGACCAGGAGCCAGGGCAATTGGATGGTCTGATTCCCGCTGCTGCTACCTGGATTCAAGTTCTTGGCGCGGATATCTATGGGTGGAATGAAGACTTTGGCCGCAGGGGTAGAGGAGGTTCGCTCTGGAATGGTAAAGATGGATTTTGTGTGGAACGATGGCAGCTTTGGCGGGAGAGATTTGGGGCTATGGTTAAGAGAGAGGAGCTTGATGATGGAGCGAGAAGGGCAGCAGTGGACGCGGAGCAAATGATGCAGAAGATTGAGAGTCAGTCTCAAAGCTAGTATTATATATGCAATACAAATAGAGAGGAGTAACGCCTGGCCGCAATGCTGGGTAGAATAATATACATGTTTGAATATGCCAATCGAAAAAAAAAAGGGATCAATGGTGCCGTGTGCGCGGGCGTTTGCGCTTGTCTTGTTTGAGCTTGTCCGCAATAAACTGCCAACACTCCATCGGACGCCGAGAGCCGATGTGTTTTCCTTTGGGAGAGAATACTTCGACCTGTGGGTAGGATGCTTCGTCCGACTCAGCACCACGCTTGCTGCGGATCTGGATGCTGAGTTCGATCCAGCCACAGCCCTCGACGAGGATATCTGCCGACATCACTTGATATGGCAGTGAAGGAATAGGGATCCCCTTGTCCGCTACTGCCTTGGCGAGAGACGTTGGCAGGTGTGATCTAGTGACATCCCATTTGATATCGAACTTGCCGGCTGAAGCCATCGAGCTCCCCGTGCCTTCTTTCATGAGAACAGTACCCCGGTATGGGCGCTCCTCGGCTTGCATCTCAATTGCTTTCTGCGTATTGGTGATGTGGGACTCAATGGGTAGGAAGCTGGCTACCATGACCGTATCTTGGGGGTTCGTTGGGGTGATCCGAATGAGACCACCACCGAGCAAAAGAGACTGGCCTGGTTTGATGGTACAACGCTCGGGCTTAATCCGCTTCGTCATGATCAGATCCCTCTTATGCTCATCCTTCACGAAGTCCTCCAACAGGCCGCGCTCAAGACCCGGGAGGTCAATGACCTCGCCCCTTCCGCGACCAAATGGAATGCGGATAGGCGAGACAGTGGTACCGGGCAGCGAAGACACGACTGGGAGCACAGGATACAAATCCTCGTGAGGAGCAGGCGGTAGCAGGCTGTTGGGGTCATCAAGAGAGGCTTGTCGCTTGTTCGGAATTTCTTCTTCCCGACGGGTTCCAATATACTCCTCAATTTTCTCCATATTCTTTGAATCCTTGGGGAAACAAGCTTCAATAAAGCTGCTTTTTCCGACGTTAGCTTTGCCAACAACCCAGATACCGCCGCCGTGATCCCTTATTTCTTCCTTGACATCCTTGGTCCACCAACCACGGTGTGCACTAATCATATGCACGTTTCCAAGGCGGGCATCTCTCCCTGTCCTGCCCAGAGCTGCTCGGAGCTCCGTGCGAATGTACTCCATTTTGGAGTCGACCTGATCCTTAGTCGCCGCCAAAAGATCCGAGCGCGTAATAATAAAAGAGATAGTTGGTAGTTTGCTTCCGCGCAAATATTTATCATGCGCGGCTCGTCGGTTCTGTGAACGCTGCTGCAAATTTAATGCCCAGTGGATCCGTGGAACGAGGGACATAGGGAAATCGGCGGCATCGATGATGTGATATACACGGTTCCATTTGTACGGTGATTCTTCCAGGTAGTTTCGTATAGACAGGATTGTTGGTTTAGGTGAAGCAACCGCTTTGTTATGGTGTATCAAGTCGTGGCAACGGTCGCAGACATGAGTGATTCGTTTTGATGAGCCGAGGAAGTCGCTAACGGGCTCAATAGCTCTATCTGGGAAGGCTCCATCTTTGTGTTTGGTTAGCCAATGTCGCGCGCTAACAGACCATATATCTTACCTTGAGTGGGACGGGGTGGTTCTGAATCCTTAATGATATCATTCTGGTGTACTTCCACAGTATCATTGTCATCAAGTTCGAGGGTTTGCTTGCTTGCGGCCAGTAGCTTCCGGGTCTGTTTCCGCGATGTATTATAATATCCAGGCTCGTTTGGTTCCACCGTTTGCGAGAATGCGCCACAGCCTGGGCAGCATACAGGTAGGACCTCGGTCACGGCATCAACTGTTGTTTGTACTGGTCGATAACGTGTCGTCGAGAAAGCGCAACATTGACTGCGGAGGTCCGGTAAGACATTGACCTGCGGCGCGACGCGAGTTCGGGAAAATAGCGTATGAGTTGGTGATCGAGGAATCGCTTTCGAAGTCAGACGTAGCAAATTCAGCCTCGGGCTCCTGAGTATTGCGCCCCGGGAACAGAGAGACATGATGGGCGTGCAGCTTTGCGGAGTTTCGGAGCTTTTTTTCTTGGGAACCCTGTTATCGATAGCGCACATGGTACTTTCGGGCCGCCGTAGAAGTATAAATTGCGCCACCACTTGTTCATTCAATAATTGTAGTAGCAGATATTACATGATCTAGAGGCTCATAGCAAGATTTTTGTATTACTATTGTGTGGGGCTAAAGCTATTTGACAAATTTGGAAAAGAGATGCGCTAGAAAACTCCAAAATGATATCGCAGATGAACGCCGTCATAAACCGTGAGGTGAAATATCATTGTGTACAAGCTCAAGCACGAGCCTTTCCTTTTCCCGTGTCGGTTCCTTCCATCTCCTCGTCTTCGGAAGAGCTCATGAACTCATCGTCATCATCGAATCCGATGAACTTCCGAGGCGCGGCCTTTTGAGGCACAGATGGACCAGCAGCAGACGACTCGCCGTTTTCTTCGCTCTCATCCTCTTCGGAACTGGATGAACCATCCTCCTCACTACCCTCACTGGCACTGGTGCTCGATCCGCCGAGAATGGCGTCGCGGAGGCTATCCGTCCATTGACCGTCCTTCATAGCCTGCAAGACTGCCTCGCGGGCTTTCTCATTCATCTCATCCTTGTCTTCTATCCACTGCCCATCGATCTTTGCCTTGCCGGTGCCGTTCTTTAATTCGTCTTGACGCTTTTCCGCGATGTCGACCACGGCTTGCCACCTTTTCTGACGCTCTTCCTTTTCCTTCTTGTCCATATCTGGCTTGACGGCAAGATACTCTGCGAGGGCCTTCGCCTCATTGACGGTACGTAGTCGGCGACCGTCCAAGTTTCGGCTGGAGCTGTTGTTGTCACCTTGGTTGCGCTTGCGCTTGCTGGACATGCGGCCACCTGCGGCACGCAGCTGGGATCCGAAACCACCCTTACCACCTCGCACTGGCACAGCGAGACGGAGAGGAAGAAGGCTAGAGGTAGACTCGGCATCGCAGAGAGAGAGAATCGATTTCGCGCATTCCGAGGGTGCGAGCTGCTTGTTGTTGGTAGTGGTGAGGGCGAAAGACTCTAGTGAGATCGAAGATGGAAGGTACGAGGCGACTTTCTCTGTCAAATCTGAGATGCTGGATGTCGAGGGTAAGGTGAACGAGAGGGTCGATGGCAGTGACAGTCCTGGGAAGGACGTCAATAGGACGTTAATATTGGATGAAGCCATTGTAAATGGGCTCTGAGAGTTTAATCGGAAGATGTTGATACTCAGTTGCAAGAACAACGCTGCTGAGGTCGTAGAGAAGATGTTGCGATAAGATGGCGAACTGACACCACGTGATATCAACGATAGGTGAGTCACGACTGAATCAGCAGATAGTGTCATGTGACCTAACCCAAACTCCCGGTAGGGCACAAACCCTACGCTCAAAGTGGCCGGTCGCACTTTTCGCAGCGAAGCTCCACTTGCACTCCATCATTTAAATCTACCATTATTTCGGGCGTTGTCAAAGCGATTCCCCGACTTGCAACAGGAACTCGCGACAATGTGAGTTTATACATCTATCCCGCTTATTTCGGACAGTTTCACTGACAATGGCACAGGCTTATCCCCAAGGACGACCGCAAGAAGATCCACGAGTACCTCTTCCGTGGTATGTAGCGAGAACCCTCGCCGACGCCTTGCAAAATTCATACGGACGGCCTTGCTAACCTGCTTTTCAGAGGGTGTGCTCGTGGCCAAGAAGGACTACAACCTTCCCAAGCACGGTGACATTGACACCAAGAACCTCTATGTCATCAAGGCCCTCCAGTCCCTGGACTCCCGCGGCTTTGTCAAGACCCAGTTCTCGTGGCAGTACTACTACTACACCCTCACCCCCGAGGTACGGACCATCCCAACATAACACAACGACCGAACAGAATACTAATTGAACACCAGGGTCTGGACTACCTCCGTGAGTGGCTCCACCTCCCCGCCGAGGTTGTCCCCGCCACCCACATCAAGCAGCAGCGTTCCCACGCTCCCCCCCGCGGCATGATGGGCGGTGAGGAGCGCGGCGAGCGTCGTCCCCGTGCTCCCCGTGAGGGCGGCTACCGCCGTCGCGAGGAGGGTGGCAAGGAGGGCGGTGCCCCCGGCGAGTTCGCTCCCTCTTTCCGCGGTGGCTTCGGCCGTGGCCGTGGTGCTCCCCAGCAGTAAATGCTGAGCCAAGAGGCCTTGGTGTCCTGTCATCCACTTCTCGGTCATCCTAGGGGCTTGTTGATGTAACCGGTTTCGGTTCGGAGTAGAGTCCTTTGAAACGAACTGATCCTCGGTGCATCATGATCCCGTCCCAGTTTTACTGGGGCTTGGGGATACAGGAAACAAAATAAAAAATACAAATCTTTGATTCCAATATTTTCTATTGTAGATTGAAACAAGTTGAAGCAATATCTGGTATGCCGTTGCTTCACGTAGTCTTTAAATCTCCAATGTCTTGTACAGGTGGATGTGTTTTGACACTTATATTGTTCTTGCAGTATATACATTCTTGCCGTGTCAAGGATCAGCTACGTGAACCTCTTCCGGTCATAGCGAACCACAGCCTGCAGAATGACCGATGCTCCAGTGGCACAGTCCTCGGCAGTGGAGAATTCCTCGGGGTGATGGCTAAGACCGTCTTTGCAAGGAATGAAGATCATACTAGTGGGAACACGCTTCGAGGTGAACACGCTATCATGACCAGCACCGCTCATGATTGACCGCACAAGCGATTTGGTGTCAGCAACAGGCGCATCGGCAACAACAGCATGTGCTGACTGCTGCACACAATCAATGCAGTCCTCATGGAACTTGACGGCCGGCGAGTCAAAGTCCAGAGTCCATTCAACACGACAGGGTTTACCAATGCCAGCACCTTCAGCTGCTGCGATAGCGTCGAACTCAGACCTCAGCTCCTTCTCAACCTCGACAACAAGTTCTGTTTCGGGGCCACGGATATCCAAGCTGAAGCTCACCAGCCCGGGAACTGTGTTCACACTGCCAGGCTTGGCCTCCACGATACCAACACTAGCCAGACAGCCCTTTGCAGCTGCGACCTCGCGCGCTCGCACCATCATACGAGAGAATGCATAAAGAGCATCTGCACGGTGTTCGAATGCCGTCGTGCCAGTGTGTGTATCACGCCCGATGACGTTGAGCCTGAACCATTTATACGCCTGCACAGCCGTAACCACTCCCACGCGCTGGCCTGCCGACACAAGATGTGGGCCCTGCTCGATGTGTAATTCGAAGTGAGCTGCCATCGGCGTCGACTTGTATGAACATGGAACATCGCCAAGGTAGTCGATCTTCTGCAGTGCACTCTTCATTGTCTCTGGTGCAGATGCTGCTGTAGGTAACGAGGCAACCGTTGGCACCTCCTGGAGAGCATGCGCCTGCTCCAATGGGATACACTCAGCCCATACACCACTTGAAATCATGCTGATTGGGAATCGAGCTCCCTCCTCGCTGTGATGACGTCGTTAATGAGGCTCATGGATTGGATAACATGCGCTGGGGTCAATCTCACTTGGTCCAGTTAACAACTCCAACTCCTCCTTCCGTTTCCAGACCCATGTCGTTCATGGTCTTGATGGTTTCAATTCCAGACAAAACACCCAGGATTCCATCGTACCTCCCACCAGTGGGCTGTGTGTCAAGATGGCTGCCGATGAAGGTAGGAGGTACACCTGCTCTCCGACCAGGGCGAACAGCAAAGATGTTGCCCATCTCATCCACGGTGACATTGCATTTAAGGTCTTGCATGGTTTTGATGAACCAATTGCGGACACTTCTGTCTTCTTCCGAGAGCGCTAAGCGCTGCATGCCTGTATCTGTAGGGCCCCTATCGATCGCCATGGTTAGCGATCGTGTCCCAACAAGGGATGTCAATAGCTTACTCTCCCCATCGGATTCCATATCCCCATTGGCAGGAATGGTGCAAGTCTTCGGCCAGTCGCTCTTTGTTGGCTCTGAGAGCAGACACTTCTGCCTCGGAAAGCTCCGTGGTCAACATAGCTTGTATCTTTGATGTGGAGAATGTTCGAATAGGGTGGACTAGGGTAGAGTTAGAGGCCTGAAGGCAAAATCTGAGTTTGCCACGTAAAATACGAGACCACGCCATGCTGTCAAGTTTGAGCGTTTTATAGAGGGGGAGGGCGTTGATAAGAGTGGAGTGTCGGACTTTCGTCCGCGAGTCCGCGATAGGTATACCCCCAACCCCGCATGGAATGTCGGCAATTACTCGACTTCTCCAATCGGCTTTGATTTGTTTATTTTATTATCTTCATTACTCGCATGTTTGTTGTTCATGTCCATACACAGGCTGGGTTTGTGTAGGGCACGTTGATTCAAGTACAATTTGGCTCATATCGGCCTGCAAGGCTATTTATCGAGTGCAAACTGAGTGTAACTCCACGGGATTATTGGAGTCGCGATCTTCGCTGTTGGGGTAACTATAGTCCCTCTTGGAGTCATCTATGTAGCTGCAGCAGTGTTACCGGCAAACACACCCTGTACCACAAAGGTCGGTCTCACACATTGTATCGGTTCCGGTTTTGGTAACGGAAAAGAAAAAGCATCCCAAACAAAATAAGAAGTAACTAGTGCTCAGTTGTTCTTCTACATATCAAAGATCCCCACCTTTGTGTAACGGAGCGCCTCCATATGTCCCATATATCCCAAGTGAGAAGAACCCCAGCATAATAGTCTTTAGGAGCATCCCCAGAGCCTTCACAAAGGTCCTTTTGAAGTGCCGAGCACCTGCTGGACCTGGTCCATGTATTTAAATAATTCTCTCTCAGCTCAATTTCAACATTCTTGAGGAGGCATGTTGGTGATAAGGGAATCGAACGAAGCTGAACGTGCCAAATGACATGCCCGAAAGAACGACACCACATGACATATGCAGGGCAGTCTTCCGCTGAAAGGGTAAGATCACTTGATGATCGCTGGCTGTATTACTCATTATTTCAGGATATATCCCCATATGGTGCCAAGCAGACCTGTAGTTACTGACATGATTGCGGTGATATGGTGATGGGGTCAGTAATGTAATTCATCTCGGTGTCTACGAACCGATTGATATCTGCAGGGCGGATAGTAACGGCTGGGCAATGATCGTGAAGATGGACGAGTCTCCAGGTCTCTCTTGAAATTCTGACAGAAAACAAGGAAGGACGCGTCAATATCAGATGCGTCAAGTATAGCAGTCTGGAAGCCGTTTGGTAGTATCAGAATTGCCTGGCAAAATTCCAGCATATCATCTTCAGCTCTCCAATGCGAACTCAAGAATAAATACTTTATCCTTTAAGGAGTGTAGGGGGCAACGAACATGTGCCGCGAGGGGATAAAATGGGCTTAGAGATTCATTTGATCAGGATAAATGCTCTCAAAGGCAAATATTATAGTACTGCAAGCCGATAACCCATTGTCTCGATATTGCAAAGGGGCAGAAATGGACAAAAAGGAGAAACAGAAGAGTGATTCTAGTAGAAGCCCTGGGGGTTGCAGTCACCAGTGGTTAGGGCTGAGATGTCACATGACACGCATTGTTTTTCTAGCTATAATTGAAGTCTTTCGAGATAAAATGATGAAAAAAAGTAGTGCGATATGTCTGATAATTCGTGTGTCGGATGTGTTAAGTCACAACGAAAACCAAGACAGTAGGGTAATAGAAAAGGAGACTTTCAACAATTGATGCTGTCAATGCGATTTCCTCCACTGGGCTACAAGAGGTTTCACTTATGTAGCTTTGGGGTCACGAATCCAAGAATCATAGAGAAATATATTACAGGTTGTTCTGTGCTTTAAGTTTGATTCCCTTTGCTGGTCTCCTTGGCCACGCCAGATCATTCTTCCTCTCTTTACGTTCTCTGGTCAGTTGGACTCGTTACGGACACTTGAATGACACACTAGGAAAGTTCAGGTTGATTTTGTGTCTTACTGTCAAGGGTGACTGCCGGTGAGATGTCAAGATGTGGCAGGGGATGGTGCTTGGTTCAGATTGGAGCGAATCCGACTGCATTAAAGAGAATTCAGTTTTATTACCTCGTTGGAACCCCCGAAAGAAGACCTAGCATGAATACTCTCTAGTTCAAGACATAACACCGGTCAAGTATCTACTAAGTGTGTATGCAGTACGACAGAAACGTGTACAAGTTTGGGGCGTCTGTTGTAAGGAAACATGGATGTCGGGTAAATCATTTAACCTAAATGATGAGACACTGACTGACATGTTTCAGCATCAGTTTAGTGTTCAGCCAATTGGTCCAGCAGTTCACGCTAATTTCACCCCATGCCTCGACAAGATGCAGATCGACTTAGGGCATAGGGATCCACTCACGGGGATCGACGTGCACTCTAGAAATGGTCTTGCAGGGATACAGAGGTGAACAGAAGAACTACATATAATTAAACAAAATAACCACGAAATAGTCAACTACTATCCTTGCCATGAAGTAAATGTCCAACTAAACAAAAAAAATGATAGATCAACTGTAGTATGTGGCACAGTCTGGTGCCGATCACGTGCAATTGCCTCCCCGACCACTGGTCGACACTCAATTTTTTTTTTCGCCGGGGGCAAATAACCGCCTGCATGCGATCTTTGTTTGATAAATAGAGTAACACCCTGTCAATACCCGTGTTACCCTGCATCAGTGCATTATCAACAGTCCGGCACGAAACCCTCGACACCCGACGCACCAAGCCGCCACAACCTCCGATCTCCGTTCCTTACACCCGCAGATCCTCGACAATTCCGTACAACTATATACACCCATTCCCCTCGGATACCAATCAGAAAGCGTTATAATAACCGAAGACCAACATGTTCGAAGACTTTTCTTTCACATCGCCGTCCTCACGGCCCGCCCGACTAGCTCTGGACCCAGATGACCGCCTCATGGTCGACGGCGACAGCAGCCTAATATCGCCTCTCTCCTCCCGCTGCCCATCACCACAGCCGCACCGCTTCCGCAATATCTCGCGTTCGCGCTCTTCGCACTTCCACCGCTCCCAACAACCTCCCACCTCCGTCCCCTTCCCCTATGACTCAGACCACAAGCGGCTCTCGATCTCGACCCTGACCCAGAAATTGCACGAGCATACCCTCGCCACGCCGACCAGCGACAGTCGTTCAAACCAGAACCCGAATCAGCGCTTCGCCCAGGGTCAGGGTCAGGGTGTGGGTGGTGGATACGGATACGACGGACGATATACGCCCCGCTCCCGGTATGGCGGCTACAACCACGGCCTCGTCCTCACACCCCCAGAAACAGACCACTCGGACGACTCAGGCGTAGATGGCTTCTCCTCGCCATCCGCATCCTCAAATCCCAGTCCAACATTCATGCCGCCAGACCTCCTTCCCGACCTACCCGATTTCGGATTGGATAGCTCAAACCCTCACCTGCGCCAGGACCAGGATATAAGAATGCAGCGGCAGCAGATATCCCGGTTACAGTGCAACCAATCGGAAGTGGAAGCTATGCAGCGGAGTCTATTAGCAGAGGAAGGAGGCGGGGCTGGCGACTTATCGCGTGAAGAAGATGATTGCCATCCGAGTGATTTACCGCCGCGGTTGTCGCCGCGGCGGAGGGCTGTTACGCTTGCTAGGTCGAGGTTTGGGCCTGAGGCTGCTTCTGATGCGAGGGCTAGGCGGAAGAGTAGTTGCGGGGCTCATTTGTCGAGTCGCGTTGATAAGGGTCATTTGAGTGGGTATGCTGGGGTTGGGAAGAAGAGGAGTGATAATGGGCTTAGGCGGAAGAGTCTTGTTAGTGCTGCTTTGGCTTCTATGGTTGAGAGGGAGTGAGGTTTTTATATTCAGTGATACCCTTTTATTATTTGATGGTTCTGGATATACCAATATACTTTATTACCAGATATGTATTCATTGTTTCTCAAACATGCAGCAGGTCATGATTTACTCCAGCCTGACTTTGCATGTATTGACTCAAGCTACACTTGCAGTTTGACGTTCAAGATAAAAATCGGAAACCGTGTAAAAGAGGAATAGAACCATCAAGTTTAAGAAAAGTCAGATGACATGTATACAACCTGAGTCTCAGACCCAGGTAAGAAGTAATGAAAAAGTGTCTTGTAAAAACAACAAGGAAGAAAAGAAGGAGAAAAAAAAAGAACAAAGGAAAAGAGTCCAGTCCAGTCCATCATATCCAAACAATTTACGCCATATCCATCACCGTCGCCTTCTCACCCATTCATCAATTCATGCTCATGCATTCGCAAAAACGCGACCAATGAGTCAATAGACTCCCAGAGCCATACATAATCTGAATTCCCAGAATCCAGTAAAATCAAATCAAACAGCCAGAGGGAAGGAACTAATTCCCAGACCTCCAACTAAAGAACTTTCGAAACCCTTTCCTCTGCGAGAAAGACATCTTCCGCTCATCACTCTTCCTCCTATGAAACTCAAACCGAGGACTCGTATCCCCATTCCCATTCCTGCGCTGCAACTCTTCAAGAGCGCGCGCAGACCCACTCGCACCCCTCAACCCCATATTCTCTGCATTCGCAGCTGCGAGAACAGATTGGACGTGCGGGTCTAGGTAGACGGGATCGTATGTGTATGGATCGGAGGGGGAGTGGGGGTGGGAGTAGGAGTTTGGTGTTGAGGGTAGTTGGGGAGGAGTTGAGTAGTGGTTGTGATGATGACGGAAGGGTGGCGGTTTGGGGTAGGGGTATGCAGATGTAGAGGTTGAGTCGAAGGGAGAGTAGAGGGGCGAATTGATTGGTGTGGCGAGAGGTGTCTCTTGTGGGGTGTGGAAGTCTTGTTCTAGTTCATAGAAGATGCCTCTGTCGCGCTCGTTTACTTGGGCCCATTCGCCGTTGGCGTAGACTGGGGAGCCTGGTTCGCCGATTTCGCTCTCTTCTGAGAAGGTGTGTTGGGATGAGGAGACCGGGCGGGAGTCTGTTTCTGTGTGAGAGAGGGGTGGTGGGTTTGTTTCTGAGGATGGGGTTGTTGTTTGGGAGGTAGATGCGCCTCTATAGCGGAATGAGTGGTTGGCTTGGTAGTCGTCGTTGTCGGCATTAGTGTCGCCGTCTGTGTCGGCGTCTGTATCTTGAATTAAGTCGATGTGCGAGGTTGGTTCGTCTTGTACA